AGGATGAGATGGTTGGAAGGCATCACTGACTCAATGGACATGAGTCTGAGTAAACTCTGGGAGTTGGTGATGGACAGGGAGGCCTGGCATGCTGCAGTCCATGGGATCACAAAGAGTCGGACACAACTGAGTGACTGAACTGAACTGATGAAGTCCAGTGGCGTCGCAAGATTAAATAAGTGCACAAAAGCCTGGGGCACTTCCAGAACTGCCACTGGATTATGCAGACAGAAGACAGAGAGACAGGTGCTACCAAGTAAAGAAAATACTTGTAATTAAAAAGTACATGTAAGTCTTAGGGAGTTATAGAGCTAAGGCAGAAAGTAAACATGAGCAGTTTTTGAAGGCAAAGAAACAAAAGACTAACATACACTGGTAAATACTGGTGAGTGAGAAGGAGCAGCAGAGAGGTGCCCCTGGAAGAAGCTAGGAGCCTGCACCCAGAACAAGGGCAGGGGCACAGAAGGCTGCCTCAATGACTCAGCACTCTGAAGACACTTTCCTATTTATATGCAAATTGAAACTAAATTCAGTAATGCACAAAGTATCCTTTTTACCTAAAACATTTTAGGATTAGTAACTTTTCACAGATGCCTCTACAATCAAAGTAGTACTCCAATATTAAATAAAGCATCTACATACCAAGATCCCGGCTTCTAAAATTTTAAGTGACCATAATTAGGTAACTTCCAAAAATTTAGAGCTTCCTGAATCAATAAATAAATATTCCATCCATCAAGTATCTTCGGTCATCAAGCCAGAAGTAACCCGACAGTAGTGCCCTCCAGAAAGATTTGCATTTTCCCACGCTTCTGCACTCCAAATGTGCTGCAGGTTAACTGAGAGGGTAGAGGCCACTGAGATCCAGGAATAATCCCAGCATTTGATACCGGCCCCTTCATATGGAAATGCCACTTTCATGGGACAAGTGGAGTGAAATGGATAGGGAGTGAAATGTAAATCTCCTGACAAAGGCATCACTGCTCCACTTCCACCCCCAGAACTACACATCTGAGTGCATCACAGTAACTCATGTGGAGGACACTCAAACATTTAGAAGACAGATCACAGAAAAAAATTTTCAGAATCAAATTTGTCAGAGTTGGAATTTTTGCCAAATAATAAAAATGAGAAGGCAGATCTTAAGCCATGAAGAAATTGAAGCTGACTCAATCCCTGAAGAATTTTAAAGTAAGCCTTACTAGTCACAGAATCTACAAGTAAAAATACACAGAACTATCTAGAAAGCACCAATATTATTTGCTACCTTTACTACAATATTCACTAACATTTTCTTCTGCAATTAAACTAATTTTACACAACTTCTACTTTTTGATCCATCACCTAATAATTTTAGTAACACAATTTTATAATATCTTGTCATTGCGTTAGTCACTCAGTTGTGTCCAACTCTTTGCGACCCATGGACTGTAGCCTGCCAGGCTCCTCTATCCATGGAATTCCCCAGGCAAGAATACTGCAGTGGGTAGCCATTTCCTTCTCCAGGGGATCTTCCCAAGCCAGTGATCAAACCCAGGTCTCCTGCACTGCAGGTAGCTTCTTTACCATCTAAGCTACCAGGGAAGCCCCAAGCATACGAGTTATAATCCCTGGTATTTAGTAAATTAAAAGGTTAATGAATATTCAAAACTGGAAATCTGTAAGAAATAAAGAAAATAAGGCCAATGTAAGTTGCTAACTGTAAACTTTGTCCTGTAAGGTTGTTTTAATTTCTGTAATGATTTCCTAGTGTAGCAGGTGTCTACTGAACACGAAGCATGGCCACGTCTCAAGTCACTCTGGTTCACATGGAAAGAGACACTCATGAGTAAAGCCGCTACGACGGCTCAGTCAGCTGTGCCCACTCGATCACCATTTCTTAAGACAAAGACTTTACATACATGTCAAGTGTATGTTACTCAGCTGTTTTAATTTTCCCAAAACATGGTTATTTTTACTGCTAACATCTATATTTTCAAATACATCTTCAGTAAGAAAAGGAATACTATAAATGAAATCCAAAATTTGCCTATGTTCCATTTGGTAAAAACAAAACCCTGTAAGAGACCAAAAATAACTCAACAGTGTATTCAGTGTTGTTAATGCTCACAATTCCTGGCAAACATCTGACCAGGACGGGTAAGTCACCACTTCTACAGCACAGGCCGCCTTCGTGGAGCCCCACTGCAGACACGAGACCACATTATGTCCTCATAGCTTTCTGTCTGTCCGTGCCTGTCCCCACGTCCTCAGTCTTCAGAAACACTGTCACCCAGGGATCCTCTACGCACCACAGACGCTCATCTCCACTTCAGGATTCCTTTGGGAGGTGTTCTCTACTAGAAGGCGGCAAATCAGGACCTACTGCCCTGAGACCACAAGGCCATGTCCTGGCACTTGCCCCAGGCCATGGAGCAAAGAAGGAGGAAGGGCTCTGGCTAGTCAAGTCAGACTCTTCTTCAACCCCTAGGTTTCCCCTTAACTCTCATAACAGGGACTCTTCCAGTTCTTGGCTTCAACCATGGTGAGAACACGCACCTCAGACGGCACCATGGGGTCAAGTCCGACTCCCTTCTCCACCCCACGCTAATGAAGAACACAGGCCACACCATCAAACGTGCCACCCAAACCCATCCACTGCAGCTGTCTCCTCAACCGACAACAGTGGCCACCGTTCCCACCATAACCACCCCTACGCTTCCACAGCTGGTGTTGTAATGGCCAAGCCTCTCCCTGATGGACAAACAGTAATAAAATTATGCAAGGTTTGATACAAATGCATGATTATTGACCTTCCTTTGTTGATTACTGATGATCTCTATCAAACATGGCCAACTTTCTCTTTTTTTTTAGTCCTCATCTGTATCCCAGACACCTTTTCACTTAAATGAACTAATGGATAAAAGTCATCTTCTCCAACATTATTTCACTGTTCCTCCCCTATTTTTTCTGTCGCCTGAAAAAAGGAGTATAAGCCTTCCTTTCCAAAACTGTCCTTTTCCCCACGGTACCCCCTCCTTTCCCTGTCACAGACCTATGCCACATGCCTACTGATGATTTTAGGAAAGTCATCGTTGAGGGGGTCTTTCACTACCACAATAATAACAACAACGCTCAACCTCTTATCTCCAGACCCTGCTTCTGGGTCTGACACTAACTGTCGTAGACCAATCCAGTTCAAAACACATTTATAAAAGGTACCACAGGTACCTCACACTAGTGAGAAGGGCCATCTTTAAAAAGCCTACAAATAATAAACACTGGAGGGGGTGTGGAGAAAAAGGAACCTACACTGCTGGTAGGAATGTAAATCGGTACATCCACTAGGGAGAACAGTATACTGAAAGTTGCTCAGTGGTGTCTGACTCTATGACCCCATGGACTGTGGCCCACCAGGTTCCTCTGTCCAAGGAATTCTCCAGGCAAGAGTACTGGAGTGAACTGCCATTCCCTTCCAGGGGATCTTTCCAACCCAGGGATCATGCCCAGGTATCTTGCACTGCGGGCAGATTCCTCACCGTCTAAGACACCAGAGACACTCAGGGAGAACAGTATGGAGGTTCCTTAAAAACTACCGTCACCATATGATCCAGCAGTCTCATTCCTGGGCATGTATCTGGAGAAAACTCTAATTCAGAAAGATACATGCACACCAATGTTCACTGCAGCACTGTTTACAATAGCAAAGACATGGAAGCAACCAAAGTGTCCACTGACAGAGGAATGGATAAAGATGTGGGACATATATACAATGAAATATTACTTAGCCATAAAAAAAGAATGAAATAATACCATCTGGAGCAACATGAATGGACCTAGAGAATATCATACTAAGTGAAGTCAGTCAAAGAAAGACAAATATCATGTGATAGTGCTTATATGCAAAAGCTAAACAATAATGCAAATGAGCTTATTTACAAAACAGAGTCACAGATACAGAAGACAAACTTAAGGTTTCCAAAGAGGATAGCAGGGGGTGGCGAGGAAGGAGGTAAATTAGGAGTTTGGGATAAACGTATACATACTACTATATATGAAACAGATGAACAGGATACAACACAGGGAACTATATTCAATACCTTATAGTAACCTATAAGAGAAAAAAATCTGAAAAAATATATATGTTTAACTGAAAAAACAAAAATACTAACAAGGAAGTATATAGGAAGATGTGTGAAGCTATATGCAAATACTAGGCTGTTTTATGGAAAAGACTTGAGCATCCACTGATTCGGTAACTGCAGGGGTCCTGGAGAGCTTCCCTGGTGGCTCAGACAGTAAAGAATCCTCCTGCAACACAGGAGACCTGGGTTTGATCCCTGGGTCAGGAAGATCCCCTGCAGAAGGGAATGGGCTACCCACTCCAGTATTCTTCCCTGGAGGAATCCATGAACAGAGGAGCCTGGTGGGCTACAGACCAGGGTTGCAAAGAGTTGGACACCTGTGTGACTATCACTCTCACTTTTCAGGGGTCCTAGAACCAACCCTCCACAGAGGCCAAGGGGTACATATAAAATTATAGATGGAAAAGAAAGGAACAGTTTATAAGTATCGATTTACAAATATCAATACAGTGACAAGAATCAATTCTACCATGTATTAATTACAGAGTCACTAATTGTCTCCATCTTTTAAAGTTTTAGTCACTCAGTCGTGTCCAACATTTCACGATCCCATGCACTGGGGCTCGCCAGGCTCCTCTGTCCATGGAATTCTCCAGGCAAGAATACTGGAGTGGGTTGCCATTTCCTTCTCCAGGGTTTAAACATTAAATCATCTGACAAGAAAAGTGAATTTGGCTTTCTGTCCCTTTTGGATTAGCACTGTTTGGTTTTGACTAAGGTTATTTACACTCTCTAGGATGTCATTTACACTCTCTAGGATGTCATTTAGAGTGGATTCTTTAGTTTGACATGGAAACAAATGTGTTGAGAAGCTAAGCTTATAAATAACAATGTAACCTCGCTGAGCAGGAGGTTAGGCAGTGGTGGGGGACAAACCTGGTACAGAGGAACTTCCATCCCCCACAGACAAACCACTCCAGGCCTCTCTTTCTTCGCGTGATCCTAGCTCGTGGTAAAGTGTGGTAATCACTTTCGTCGTTCTCAAAGCCCTCTTCAGACATCATTAGTGGCATTTCATCCAAGTGGGCGGACTCATCCTCCAGCTGGTACCTGGAGAGAGGAAAGATCAGAGAGCACTGAGGTGGGGCAAGCCGTCTCCTGTCTACAGTAAGAGTTTCACTCAAGGTAAGAGCTGGCCCAGTTCTACTAATCACACTTTTCTTTTCTCCTCATACTAAGCTGACTTTCTCATACTAAGCTACACGAACCAAGAACTTCCAGATGTACAAGCTGGATTTACATAGAAAAGGCAGAGGAACCAGAGGTTATATTGCCAACATCTGCTGGATCACAGAAAAAGCAAGGGAACTCCAAAAATAACATCTACTTCTGCTTCATTGACTATACTGAAGCCTTTTGACTGTGTGAGCACAACAAACTGGAAAAATTCTGAAAAGAGATGGGACCACCAGATCACCTTACCTGTCTCCTGAGAAACCTGTATGTAGGACAAGAAGCAACAGTTAGAACCAGGCATGAAACAATGGACTGGTTCAAAACTGGGAAAGGATTACGTCAAGGCTGTATACTGTCACCCTGCTTATTTAACTTATATGCTGAGTACATCATACAAAATGCCAGGCTGGATGACTCACAAGCTGGAATCAAGATTTCCGAGAGAATATCAACATGACTTAGTGACTGAACAACAACAAAAATGGTTAAGTTGTAATTCGTATTACCTATGGTTTTGTTGTGTCTAACTCTGTGACCCCACGGACTGCAGCACACCAGGCTTCCCTGCCCTTCACCATCTCCCGGAGCGTGCTCAAACTCATGTCCCACTGAGTCGATGATGCCATCCAACCATCTCACCCTCTGTTGTTCCCTTCTCCTGCCCTCAATCTTTTCCAGCATCAGGGTCTTTTCCAAAGAGTCAGTTCTTTGCATCAGGTGGCCAAAATACTGGAGCTTCAATTTCAGCATCAGCCCTTCCAATGAATATACAGGGTGGATTTCCTTCAGGATTGACTTGTTGGATCGCCTTGCTGTCCAAGGACTCTCAAGAGTCGTCTCCAACACCACAGCTCGAAAGCATCAATTCTTCAGCACTAAGCCTTCTTTACAGTCCAACACTCTCATCCGTACATGACTACTGGAAAAACCATAATTTTCAGTAGATGGACCTTGGTTGGCAAAGTGAAGTCTCTGCTTTTTAACATGTTGTTTAGGTTTCTCATAGCTTTTCTCCCAAGGAGTGTCTTTTAATTTTGTGGCTGTAGTCACCATCCACAGTGATTCTGGAGCCCAAGAAAATAAAATCTGTTACTGTTTCCCCAACTATTTGTCATGAAGTGATGGGACTGGATGCCATGATCTTAGTTTTTGAATGCTGACTTTTAAGCCAGCTTTTTCACTCTCCTCTTTCACCCTCATCAAGAGGCTCTTTAGTTCCTCTTTGCTTTCTGCCATTAGAGTGGTATCATCAACCTATGTGAGGTTGTTGATACTTCCCCCAGCAATCTTGATTCCAGCCTGTGATCATCCAGCCCAGCACTTCCCATGATGTACTCTGCATATAAGTTAAATAAGCAGAGTGACAATACAGCCTGGACATACTCTTTTTCCAATTCTGAACCAGTCGGTCGTTCCATGTTTGGTTCTAACTGTTGCTTCTTGTCCTGTATACAGGTTTCTCAGGAGACAGGTAAGATGGTCTAGTAGTCCCTTCTCTTTAAGAATTTTTCCAGTTTGTTGTGTCCACACAGTCAAAGGCTTCAGCATAGTCAATGAAACAAAAGTATAATTAAAAAAAAATTTCTAGTTATTGTTGATAACACCCTGCTCCCTGGCAGCCAAGAAAGCACTGGCAGATGGATATTCCCTCATCACTACACACACCCCCAGCCTGCCAAGCTAATTCCTAGAACACAGTCTTTCCTGAACTTACCATGAGGCCCTTTCCCCTCATCATCCTGCTAGCTGCCACAGAGAGAGTCTGCACCCTGACACACAGAGTGAATATGGGGAATGGGCTGCTCAACTAGACAGCCAGAATACTGGGGAAAGAACCCCTGAAGGCCTCTTATACTAGAAGCTCAGAGAAATGGATGGCTGATGTTTACTGAGTCCTTACTATGGCCAGGTACAACGCAGGTCTGTAATCTGCATCATCAAAGAAGAACATCTTAAAAGAAACAAGCAACCAGGGGGAATAAATGCAGCATATAACAGAAAAACTATGCTATATAGGCAGTTCTCTCAAATCGGTAAAAAAGCAAATGCCTTGAACGACAGACGAGCAAAGACAATTCACAAAGGGAAAAAAAAACTAAGAAAATCACATCCCACCACATTAGGAACTCCAACTCTTTCAACACACACTTGAGTGCCCACTACGTGCTAGCACTGTCCCCGTGGGTACAGAAGCAAAGAGGCAACAAAGGTCCTGCAATACATACACAGCTCAGGGACTCACAGGACACTCAATGGGGAAAGTGCTAGGAAGACAATAAAGGAAGTGGTAAGACTCGAAGTGACAGGAAGGGTCTTCCTGGATCATCAAGGAAGCCGAGTCTCAACAAGTGACACCTGGATGAAAAGCAGCCAACCACACGAAGGTCTAGGAAGACCGAGAAGGGGCTGAAGAGCTTGGAGGACTGCAGGAGGGAGAGAGCCAGTGTGGCTGGAGCGAGTGAGCCTCATGGTCTGGGAAACTGAAATGAAGCACTCAGTGTGAAGAGGAAGGCAATGAAAGGTTTTAAGCCTGGGAATAATTTTCGTTTTCAAAAGGACTCTTAAAACATGCAAATTAAAATAACTGAAAAAAATTAATTCTTAACATCTGGCATAGCCAACAGTCTTGGATAACCAGGCACTCTTAATTGCTGTAAGAAAGTGAACAACTTTTTGGGAGAATAATTTGTGAAGATGCATCGAAAGCCTTTTTCTTTTTTTGTAATGTAAGTTAACTTTAACCACAGGTTCTAATCTCATGAAAATTAAAAATATATGTAAGATATATCTACAAAGATGATGATCACCATGCTATGCTAGTCACCAAAAAAGCATAGAAAAACTTTCATATCAACAATTCGAGCTGCTTAATCCACGATGGAATACCATATCATTACCAAAACCAAGAATGCAGAAGACCTCTGCTTAAAGCAAACATCCAGAGAAGCAGCAGTCACTACTGACACCCGTCTTGAACACTTCACTCCCCTAATCAAAGGGATACTTGTCTTCATCTCTCATCGAATCTACAAACAACTCCAATTACTCTCAATTCCACCATGGAACATCCTTAAAGCAAGCCACCTATTACTTTAAATGGTTTAGGCAAAAATTACAAAATCTGAAACAGAATTAATATTTTTCTTCTTACTTCTGTGTAAAAAAAGCACTTCTTTTAAAACAGTCAACCAGAAAATGGATATTTATACAAAATGCAATTAAAATTCAAACCACCACTTACATATAATATAGTATACAAAATGAGATTTTTAGTCTTATTCATTAAGTTCTTTTAGTGATTGTGCTGCATTTTAGCAAAAGTCACAATCTTATCACGTTTAATGCTAGAAAAGCAGTACAATGAGTCTGAAAGATAATGAATATAAGCAACATCATGTTTAGTAACCTCAACTTCAGAAAAGGAGCCTTCGAACTGGCAAGCAATTTATTCCATTTCCAAAGCAATTTTCCTATTGTATTGAAAATTTTACCTCAGTATTTAAAAACAATAAGATGATGAATAATGGATTTTTTCAGAGACAAGATAAGAAGAGAATCTTAAGTGTCTTTGTTGCCTGGTGTCATACACACTTAATTGGTTTGTCACTCAAAAAAAATCAACGTTTCCAGCAATTAAGTATAATTCCGGAAACATTTTTTTTTTAAATGAGTAAAAACAATGTGAACAAAGAAGACAGAATGGATGATACTGAACCCAAGAGTACCACCATGCTAAGAACTAACGACAGCTCTCTTCACTGTTGCCAAAGGTTTAAAAAAACTAGGAACTTTCAACAAAACATTCAAGTACTGGAAGGCACATAATTTACATGTATCCAAGTAAAAGTAGGTCAGTACAATAACTATCTTAAACTCACATTTTTATCTTAAGTATCCAACAGCCTTATTGTTTCCATTTTGATGAGAAACATTTCTGAGAAGTCAACTGATATTAAAGGGAGAAAACACTTAAAATATGCCTACTGCTTAAACCTTCTTTAAGAAAAATAAACACTCCCTCTCTGCCTACATATTAATAGAGCACAAAAACAAGGCAATAAAATGCTATAAAAAATGTATATTTTCTACATCAAATACAGCTTCCAAGTTCAACTGTGTTGTGATGAGTCATCAATAAGCAGCAAAACTGTATGAACTATTGAGAAATTAGAACTCCTTCCCTCCTACAGCAGCAAAGATAAACAGGGGAATAGTTTTAAAAGAAGAAAAAAATTAAAGGACCAGTGCTGGAGCAGCATGCCTTGACATCAGGAGCAAAAACAAGCAACAAGGACAAGAGTCAGGGTTTACTGACTTATTGATTCCTCTTATAGAATGTTCTATAAAAACTGAACACCAATTTCTTGAATAAGAAATTACACCAACACTATACATATATTAAGACAAACTTCTGAGTTAATGGTGCATGCATGCTAAGTCACTTCAGTCGTGTAACTCTTTGAGACTTCTTAGAGTCCATGAAATTAAAAGACGCTTACTCCTTAGAAGGAAAGTTATGACCAACCTAGATAGCATATTACAAAGCAGAGACATTACTTTGCCAACAAAGGTCCGTCTGGTCAGGGCTATGGTTTTTCCAGTGGTCATGTATGGATGTGAGAGTTGGACTGTGAAGAAAGCTGAGCGCCGAAAAATTTATGGTTTTGAACTATGGTGTTGGAGAAGACTCTTGAGAGTCCCTTGGACTGCAAGGAGATCCAACCAGTCCATCCTAAGAGAGATCAGTCCTGGGTGTTCATTGGACGGACTGATGCTGAAGCTGAAACTCCAATACTTTGGCCACCTCATGAGAAGAGTTGACTCACTGGAAAAGACCCTCATGCTGGGAGGGATTGAGGGCAGGAGGAGGAGGG